AGTCGGTCGATCAATACTACTACGCAGTGGCATGCCCTCGAGTGAGAGGTGATCCGCTATGCGACGTGAGGAGTCCCCAGCCAATGAGTCCGACCCGACTGTACCACAAGGCAGCTAGGCTGAGAGATAGCACTGTATTTGAGCTGGTCACAACCCTACACATACCGGAAACGCTGAACTAGAGTGCTCAACGTAGTACGGAGAGCATAGAGGAACATGTCGTCCGAAAGGCCTGGCTTCATCGGTAGATTCACGGCATGGCCCTTGGCTGGTGACCCTTCTGGCCCTATGTCGTATATAGCACCTTACGATGAGGATCATGAGGCGCGGTATAAGGATGAGCGATTACCCGTGCCAGGGAAGGAGATAGTGTTGCTCTTGGAGGGTGCTGAGTGTATTGATAATGTAACGACTCGAGGACAGGAGTAGAACGCTTCCTCCACGGCATCACCATGATGGTAGTCTATGTCGACGTAGAGTACCCGTTCATACCTGTGCATTGCACATACCGTAGCAGTGGAGGAATGCCCGATTATGAGCTTACCTTTCTAGTAACTTAACGATAGCCAATACGATGTCATTGACATAGCAGAAGCCAGCAGCATTAGCACAGTGAGCGTGATGCATGCCTAACGTGATCACTCTCGACATACCACCCCCATGGTTGCAGGGTAGGACCTCCATTCCAGTTAATGGCTATTGGCCTATCGTCCGTGTTGTCGCATAACCACTGTGCTGCATCAAGCGATGCTCCAGCTGTTCGACAGCAGTAGTCGTAGACACCCTCGAATAGAGTGCAGTCAGTCCATGGCAATAAAGACAAGTTGTACTTGACGAACCTGAGCGATTCCGTTGATTTCATGTACGGTGAAGAAGTCTTAGTACGGGTCCACTGCGTGGTTCTTCCGATCGGCCTCTGAGGGGTTCCGAATAAACTCTAGATACCGCCTGTCGTGGAATACAGCAAGCTCATCGAAGGTAGCAGGTTGGAAGCTGTATAGTGATAGACGGTTCATGGGCGACTCAGACTCCTGACCATAATACTCCTTCCCAGAGCGCTGCAATCATAAACCATCTTACTAGTAACCCGTAGCTCACTATGAGGGAGTGGGTGAGACGTAACCTCTCTGGATCCATTGGGTGGTCACCGCAGCCTCCAACGGCGAACTTGAAGGCCCCTATATCGCCTCCTTCCACGATTTCATAACGCCCCCTTCCTGCAACAAGCAGTCCATTTATCCGGTCTTTGGTATACTTACCGAGGTTCCTATGATGAATGTCAGTAAAGTACGCTACCGGCCTATTGGTGTCGAATCTATTGGTGGTACATCCTGGCAACTTCGGTGTCGCTTCGGTATCGCTTCGGCCCATACAAAGAGAAGCCTGTCACGCCGAATGAGTTTTCACTCCCTATTGCTAGTCATGCCACACTCACTGTCTAAGGAGAACTCAACACATTGTGGACCGATTCAGAAGCATATAGATAGCTCACACTGGCGGAGCACCAGGTTTCGCCAACTCACCAACTTTGGTGATTTATTGTTTCTAGGGAATTTAAGCAACTTGGCGATATGCGTGATACGGCCAGGATTTTACGGGATTTCACCAAGCTGGTCGGCTCGCCGTACAGAACTCAGCGCATCCGCTGAAATCTGCACGGAACCGTCCGCCAAGTCCGCTCGCCGAAGTGATCTATTCTGCGCTTGGATGCAGGTTTTGCCAACCTTGGGTCGCTGGAATCTGAGTTAGGCCGGGGAATCGCCAAAAATTTGGTGAAACTCGCACGTTTCGTCAAGACTATGACGTGTTTTGCCTAATCTTTGGCGTAATACCGGTGAAATGCGGATTTCACCGAGAGTTGGCGATATGCCGCTAGATATATGCTGAGGCGCTCGAATACGTATATATGACAGATATCGCCAATTGAGTGCTCAAGTCTGTTACTCACACTGATAGTGCCA